AATTAAAATAGGTTATTTAGTACAGTATTATTAATATTACAGTACCGAATTTTGTCTCTCTCTGTATAACGATCTCTCCTTATAACGATGAAAATTCCCGGTCCCTTGCATATCGTTATAGAGAGAGAGGACTATATTTTAGTGATTTCTGAATATGATTTGAGGAATACAAATCGTAATGTCAGTCTTAAACTATATTTCATTCTTAAATTTATAGTAACAATAAATTCTACACGTAAACAACAATATAATTAAAGTCGTTCTAATAAAGGAACGGGTTCTGCATTATCATTAATTTATGCACTCTCAGAAAGATTCATAAACATTTTTAAAAAATTCAGACCAAATTTAATTAGTCGTTCATATGAACGGGTCATTTTAATGAATGACCTGGAAGACCCGGGTCACTTAAACGAACCAGGTCTTTCCATTACTAACTTGTATCTTTTCCGTAATCGTTCTCGTATTATTTCCTTATTTATTAAGGTTTCCCTATTCGTTTCAAAAATAGAGTGGTGCCCGAATACTTCATTCTCTTTCGTGTTTTCTTGTTTATCTTACTCGCGAACCATTTGTAGTCCAGCTCTGTCGAACCCCGACCAAGGAACTTTTACTAGACTAGAGCTCGGACCTTGGTATCGTTTTTTGTGTAACCTTGTTGCCAATGATCACAGCATTTACCATCTTCCATTAGGCACTCCACAGCCCAACCGCGGTAACTGTTTATACGATACACAATTAAACTGTACTTAAATAAAGCATCCTTGCAAGACAATTAACCACTTTAATAGACACTTAAAATTAAAATCAAAATGGTGGACATTTGATGAAAAAGTTAAAAAAAATAGATTTTTTGCAAATTTTTGCATTTTAACATTAATTTTTCGACTTTTTTAGATGTGCCAATCCTGAGAATTAATGTCCGCTATCTGACACCTTTTTTTGAGACTTTAACTAAAAAGCTCTAGAAAATCCTCTAACGCGCTCTTTTTAGTACATTTTAACGAAAAAAAAAATGTTTTGTTTATTTCAAAGATAAAATAATATTTAATATTATTGTATAATATTTAAAATCATGTTCGATTCTAATATTTCATGTTCGTATGGAATAAAGGAGCTGAGAAAATTTTTCTTGTAAATATTCATTTTTTAGCTTTCAAATCTGTACTATGGTCTGTTTTTTAACCAGGAGGAGTAATTCAAATTTTCCGCGCCGTAATGCTTGTTTGCAATTGGTCCAACCACAGGCAAGTTTACTCCACTAAATTATGACATATTGACACTAATGACATTGTAAAATTTATTTATTATTATTATTTTCCTCTAATATATAAATCGGTTTCTGACTCGTAAGTTGTTTATAACTTTTGGACTTGGTGATATGCGAATAGTATTTAATGTGGTATTTTTCTAGATGTTATTTATACTAAATATAGTTTAAAGTGTTTATAAATGTATATTATTTATATCTAATTATCATAAGAAAAACGGCAACTATCTTTTAAATTTAGTTTATACTTGTTAAGAAGCATTTCCATTTTGTTTTCATCACAATAAAAGAATATTAGTAAAGTAATGTTGTGTTTTAGTTTGATTGTATTGATACAGTTGGTTTCTGGCTCCCGATCAAAATATTGTCTAAATTATAATTAAATACCATATACTCAAGAGATCTATAAAACTGGATCACCCGATATTTAAATATATATACATGGGACCAAATGTGAAAAACGTCCTTTTTTTATTGTAATAATATATTGGAAGTGAACTGAAAAAAAATATTTTATTATTCAAACATAAATGAAGAAAGTTAAAATTGACGTATGAGGTTGTCCGATATTGATTACTCGATTACCGCAAGGCCGAGATAATCCACAAAAAAAGAAGATGTATTTGGTGACTTTTCTAGTAACTTTCTTGGGTATGAATCTGTCTTTTTGGTTTACTCCTCCTAGTTAAAAAACAGAGTATAGTACCTTAAATCGCAGTTCCGTAATCGGCCAAGTGCCAAATGAGAGAAAAAATTGTCGGAAGTTAAATCCCGCTAATGAGAGACAGGGAAGATTCAATCAGAACATTTATAGATTATGCTAAAGTGTACAACGAATTTTTAGAACAACATGGGAAGAAGAAACTTCCATAAAGCGCACAACTACGGCTTAAAAATTAATATTTATTAAAAATTCTTCCTTTGTTGTCTAATTTTGCGATTATTGCCGCTTATTCTAAGACTATGTTAAACAGGAGCATATACGTTATACCCCTTACCAGCGTTATTAGTTTTCCTGTGGTATTTAACACTTTAAAGCTCTCTGGTAGGTGCATATACCACAAGCTATTACGGCTTATTTTGTCATCACAGTTGCAATAAAAACAATCCTTATAGGCGCAGTGGATACACTGAATGCTTGATGGCAAGTATGAATACCGAAAACCTGTATGCGGCGTGGCAACCATGCGTTTTTAACAATATAAGTTACCAGCGTGCCTTTTCACAACAGTCTATGTAAAAAATCGTTCAATTTTATTTTTGTTTTTTTTTGCATATGTGTCATTTGGAATAAAATACTTGGACACAAATTGAAGGTAATTGTCAAGTGTACTTTTTTTATTATTTTTAACTAGAATATAATTCTTTAAAAGCACTGGAATAGTTATTGCCGGAATAATTATGTTTTATAAGAATTTTAACCCCAAAATTCATTATTTTTGTATTTATCCCGGCGTACAAAAATTTTTATTTCTTAGTTTTGAAACTTATGCCAGTTTACAATATTATGGCATCAAATTTCTATTAAAATTTTGTTGTTTGGCATTAGCGCTATAAAAATATTTCCAATTATTTTAAAGATTGTACCAAATAAAAGGTTATTTTTTCACATACTAAACCAAAAAAATCTCGAGATCGTAGTTTATGCACAATACTAAAATTTTTACGGATACATTAAAGGAAAATTTAGTATTTATTTGCTAGACAAGGTTCTACAAAACTTTAAATTATTTATATGAGCTATTTGTCATTACAATTTTTCCAGTACATTATTTATATTTTTTTTAGATGTCTCAAAACCGATCGCTTACAGAAGCTGACCTCCAATATATAGCGGACCATCTCAGTGATAAAGAGTATTGTCTTTACGAATTTGATGGCGATGAGAATGCGGACGACAATTTCCCTAAGATAAGCTCAATTTCCAGCGCTCCGTCACAATCCTCGCCTACTAGAATCGACAGCCAGCCGACATGTTCCAGTACTTCAGTACAGGACTTGAAAAGGGTGCGCCAATGTACTCTTACAAGAAAGATAAATGATTCTAGCGGAAACGATGATTTTGATAATTCAGATCAAGATCTTGACTTTGATCCAGATGATGGATTTGGTTTCAAACACGAGTTGGCTAGGTTATTTCCTAAAAACATTTTTTCTGATGAAGAAGACGAGTATAAACAACTAAAATGAAAAAATGCCCCATCCGAAAACTAGAATTTTATAAGCTCTACACACATAGACCATGTATGCTTTCAAAGGACGTACATGCAAATGAAACCAATAAAAAGAGGTTTTAAAATTTGGGCATTGTTATGTGCTAAAACGGGATAAATTTTCAAATATATCAAGGAAAAGCTACTGGAACATCGTCCGATATGTTACGAGAACGTGATATTTTAGAACTAATTTTGAAATATTAAAATCGTGGTTATTGCGTATATTTTGATATTTTTTTTTCACCACAACACCACTGATGCAGAAACTACTAGAAAATAAAACTTTTGCTTGTGGCACTTTAAGGCAAACAAGAAAATATTTTCCAAAACATATATTATGTGTTGATATAGAGGTTTCCCAAAATCAGTCAGATTCGGTTAGTTCTGGGAAATATCTGTGTATAAGTGAAAAGATAAAGGCGTAAAATGTGTTGAATGTAAAATGTAAAAAAACTCAGGTTTTGAGAACAAACAAAACCGGAAATTAGAGATGAAGTACCATGTCCTCAGGCAATAGCCGATTATAACAAATACATGGGTGGAGTAGATCTATTCGATGAATATCATGCTAACTACTTCATCACATGGAAATTAAGATGTTGGTGGGTAACAATATTTTACTACCTTTTAGACGCAGCAATAGAAAACAGCTATATTTTATATAAGGAGACTCGAAAAAAAAAAAACTCAAGTGCTAAGCCTATGACTGCATTACAGTTCCGCAGGGAACCAGCTGATAATTTGATTAGCATTTTTACTTTTAGAAAATAGTCTGGACCTCCATCAAACTCAACTTTGCATCCTGGTTCACACTTACCCACCAAAGAAACTTATAGGCCTGTGCCCTTTGTGTTTCATCTAACAAGAAAAAAACGAGCAGCAATTTAATTTGTCAAGTTTGTACTGTTGCTCTAGGTAAAGATTGCTTTGCACCCTGCCATAGTAAATGGAAAGTTCTTAGATAATAAATTAAAAATATTCTTGTATTTAGTTTTTTTTTATATTTTCAAAATATGGTATTTTTTTTATAAATTTTTGTAATAGTTTTTACCAGTCGCTATATACACCATTGCCCAGTAAGTATTAGTTGTTTATATCACTCTTTACAGCCCTTCTGACAAAGAAAATATTAAACATTTTTTGTCTGGTTAATGATGCATAATGAATTACTTTTACTATTCAAAAGTATATTTTTACAAAAAGAAAATAGTTCTGTCCGTTAATTCATCTTCATACAATTTTTTTCGCATGCCATCATAAGCCATCATAAGCTGATTAAAAATCAACGAAAGAATGTAATGTGTCGACATGAAATTCATTAATTTTCTCTATTTATTTTATTAGTTTTTTAAATATCTAGTTTAACGAAGAGAAGACTTTTACACGACACAATTGCATACCAGGGCACTACTCTTTCGAATAAAATAGTGTTTTATTATTGAAAACAGTATCCTGCTCCAATTCTCAATTAAATTACAGGTAAAACTAGTACATAAGAGGAAAATAAAAAATAATAAAACTTATACAAACTAAGTGTATTAAAAAAACATTCTTATAACGTTTACACCTATATATTTTTTTAAAAACTAAATCTAAAAAGTAATATTTCTACTTTAGTACATTTATGATTTACCTTAAGTCTATAAAATTTATCATATCTATAATAAATTACAAATAAATTACTATGTGATAACAGTTAAGTCCCATATACTGTACTAGAAACCAGCGAGGAACATGCCCACGATGAACAACGTTCAATGGAAAGTATGTCATAATAACTATAGTTATATTGTTGCTCTCGATACTTTTAGTAGACTAGTAAGTCTAAATGAACCTTAATTATTTACAGCGCTGGTTCCTAGGGTTTTCATTAGTTCGTAACAATCTTGCAGTCTTTTTTTATCCCCTATTTTTTCTAAAGTTTTGGCTGCTTCAACTAACATTCCTGCTCTCTCCCCTGGAGACGACAATAGGGGTCCTGGTAGGTGTTTGCATGCCATGTAAAGCGCTGTGGCGTGTTGTCGCTGACCACCTAACTCATGTTGGTTTTTGTCACCTAAAACATACCAAATTTTAGAATAATATGTAAATATATAACAATAATTATTCTGACAATAATGTCGTTTTTTAATGAAATAGTCCCATAATATCAATGAAAAAAATCAACTTGCTAAGAATTTTAAATGCGCTGTAATTGATTACAACAGTAAAAGTCGTTTTAATAAAGACCTTATATTCCCTTGTTTAGCTGCTACAAAAAAAGGTTCAGTAGCTTTAACTGATTATTTTGATAATAAAAAGACAATTGATCAATAATTAAAGCACTGCAAATCTGTATTCAAATTAAAACATATTTATCCTAACACAAGAGTTTATTGAGGAATAACAGATTTACAAAATCCATTTTTCTTAAAGATAAACACAAACAAATAAAACAAACACAAAGCTAAAAGTTAGGTTACTTGCAACTTCACGATATGACGTCACCGTAAATAACATTTCATGTCATTTTTCTGCTGTAGCTTGGTCATTTTACGCACAGCAACATAGGACATGATACATAATATCGTTTATTATTAATATTATAATTAAACTTAACCTAACCTTTAGTTTTGTGGTTGTTTTATTTTTTTCTATTTATATTAAAAAAATGGATTTTTTAAATCTGTTATTACTCATAGGTTTTGTTCATCAATTAACATCATCTTTTATTTGACTATTTTCATTCTAAAAATAGTTCACGCTCAACCCTTCGATCAACTTTCTATTTACTAAATATTCTGTCATCTAAATTATAATTTTCATTTTCACTAAATATTCTAATTTCTTTATTCAGACTCTATTATGTTCTATGAGATGATAGGACATATTATATAAATTTATATGCCTCACTTCAATAGACAGTATATATGTCAGTTAGCAATTCTGTTCTGTCATCTCACTTCAATGCTGAAGTAGGGATAATTCAATATAATATAATATATTAGTTTTTATAATGTCTTTTAAATCTTTTCCTGGGGTGAGTACTTAACTTAGACAAGGAACGAAAGAGGACAGGTAATTTTAAAAGAAAAAAATTTAATAAACCTTCGAAAAGTGAAGCCACTTCACGATGTGACCGCCATGTTTTGGTACCTGTACGTTGTCCATTGCTACCTTTCCGGTAGGGTTACCAGGTCTGCCCGGGCGTTTGTTCTCATATATAAGAAAAATTAACAGGATTATATTACAAACATATTCTTGAGAACACAATGTTGCCATTAGTGACCCAGAGATTCCCCAATAACAACTTCATCGTCCAACATGAATTGCCCTGTGCATACTGTGCATACGGGTAGAATTCGAGAAGTCCAGACCTCAAGTCCATCGAAAATGTGTGGACAAAGCAATTAAATGAAAGAAACCTTAGGCCACGGAATAGAATTGAACTATGTGAAGCAATTGACCAGGCATGGGAGGAACTTGTTGAATATAACATAAGTAGATTGATGCTATCTATTACCACAAGATTGCAAAGTTGTATTCACAACAATGAGACTTCCACCACTTATTAATTGTTACTGTTTCATCATCATCATCATCATCATCATTCCCCAACCTCTTGCATCCACTGTTGAATATAGGTCTCCTCCATGTTCTTCCACTGTTCTCTATCTTGCGCCTTCTGTATCCAAATTCCGACTGTTTTTCTCAAGTCGTCCATCCATCTTTTTGGTGGTCTGCCTCGGTGTCTTTTGTCTTCTCTAGGTCTCCATTCTATGAGTCTTTTGGTCCACCTATTATCATTTAAACGTGCTATATGTCCAGCCCATCTCCATTTGGCTTGTGCAATTTTTTCTATGACATCTGTCACTTTAGTCCTCTCTCTCACTAGCCTATTTGGTACCATATCTCTTCTAGTTATTCCCAACATTGCTCTTTCCATTTTTCTTTGGGTTACTCTCAATTTATTTGCAGAATGTTTGGTTAAAGTTATTGTTTCGGAACCATATGTTATTACTGGCAGTATGCATTGGTTGTAAACCTTTTTCTTCAAGCAAATCGGTAGCATTCCTTTTAGAATATCTCACATCTTGCCAAATGCTGCCCATTCCAAGCCTATGCGACGCTGGATCTCACAAGTTTGATTGTCTTTTCCTAGTCTAATTTCATGCCCTAAATAGATATAGCTAAAGACCTGATGTACTTCGTTCCCATCTACCCTCATAACATCACTTGGAACTAAGTTGGTCATGTATTTTGTTTTTTCAAAGTTTATGTTCAGGCCTATTTGTTCTATTGCCTGTTTTAGTTATTCCATCATTTTGTGAGCTTTATTTAAACTCTCGGCTATAATGACAATATCATCTGCACAGCGCAAGTGGCTTAAGTATTCACCATCAATATTTATTCCCCTTTTAGCCCAATCTAGTTTTTTAAATGCATATTTTATATGCCTGTATACTGTTTATCATTATTTAATACAAAATAGATTTAGAATACATTACGTATTTTTAACCCAGACTTTCTATAATTTCCACTTTGTTATATTTTGTAAAATAGATTTATTTTATTTTGATTTTTTTCAATCAACCTATTCTGCTCGGTCGCCCTTTTGAAGTTATACTTCTATACGCACGGTCGGCGTTGGAAATTTGCACGAGAGTGAATCTGTGAAAACATTACATATGTAAGATAATGAGTAAGAGAGAGACAGAAGATATATTTTCTCTCTCTCTTCCTCTCTCGAAAATAAAAATTTTTCTTTTGTATATATATTTAATAGCATACTATATATTATATTATATATATATATATATATATATATATATATATATATATATAATATTATATATTTAATATAATACGTATTAATATTATTATTTATGTGATATGTTTTGTATTATTTATTAAACGTTTATAATTATTTTAGGCTTTTGTATTTCAAAATATTCACTGTTTGACCGAGAACTGTCAATTTTGAAATGCGTTAGTGTAATGTCTAATTGTCTAATCTTTTACGTGTTTGGTTCATACGCTGGTGGTTGTGAGTTCGAATCCCAATAAGAATTTTTCTTTTTTGTTTTTGAAATATTTAAAAACCCCACGTTAATCTTATTAAATATATGTAATATATGCAAAAATGCTAAATTTTAAAATAAAATGAAAATTTACAACATAATCCGAGTTGTTGGTTTTTTATTTTTACCTTCGTAAAGTAAGGTATGTATATGGTCAGTTTTAAATACTTATGAATATTGCATTTTAATTTATATTGTATTATTATATTAAATTATGTTGCATTGTATTTATTGTATTGTAATTTTTATATTAATAACAAAATAAATAATGAATTTTACTGTAGAGTATGTGTAAAAAAATGTTTTTGCATTCAACTCCTTTTATACATATATGAAAATAAAAATATATATTATGAAAAAGACAGCAAAGATTTGATTTCACGTACAAAGCGTCTATGTATCTGTTGATACGTATTTCGACCTAATAGGTCTCATCAGAACAGTTATTCACAGGCGTTCTCAACGTGAAAAATAAATATTTTCTGTCTTTTAAGAAGCAACACTAAAATGGCTTCGATATGGACGCAATAGCGACATCTGATAATAAATCCGTAAAATAGTTTCGAAACACAATTCACAAAAATATATATTTTCATTAAAATATTGATACAATCCTTACTTTACTATACTCCTATTACAGGTCAAATGTTTATATACAGCAAACGATACACCATATACCTATATAACTAATTATTTTTCTTTTTCTGCTCTCTTACATAGCATTACATATGTAATGATTGTGCAGATTGACTCCCATATAAATTTGTAACGGCGAACGCGTGTATAGAAGTATAACTTCTACCGGCAGTCCCACTGGACTGCCACACTCATTTTTTGTTCGTGAATCTAAGAGATGCGCAATCACTATTCACAAAGCTGATCTACCCGAGCAGTCGCAAGTCCATATGATCGCCAACGTTTGATAATCGTGAGATTTTTAAGCACATAGTTTTGTGTCACTTTTTTTGTGTTTTATGTCAACAAAGAATATACGGAACATTCTTCAATTCATTAAATCTATGTGGTCAACTTAAAAAAATTATATTAAATTAACGAAACAATCCATGCAAACGAAAGAGAAGTTTTTTCTTTTGAAAAAGATCACCGCGATATTCTAAAAAAAATTTACCGAGTTTATAAAAGGAAAATTAGGAATCTACCACCTATAGTTTATAACTATCAATATTGCATATAAGATTACAATAAATATTTAATTGTTGTTTACCTTTGCCACAGATAATTGAGGATTTAGCATGTCTTTGTCGTAGACTTCTATCTAAAAGTTGCTGAGTTCTTCCCGGTGCAGCACCTGCCATTAACCTGGCTGTAGCTTCATAAAGGAAAACTCTCGATAAGGCACTCTAAAAAAAATGATAAATAATAAGAGCATCACATTAACCGAGAAAAATTCAAGTCGCAAAAATATTCTAAAGTAATATATGGTAGAGTAAAAAAATAATACTAGTAGATAATAATATAAGTAAACGCTATATGTAGTAATACTTTAAAAAACCTTTACCGTTTAATGGATAGTTTAAATTTTTATTAACCCAGATATGCCTGACGTACAATAAATTGTACACCTAAAATATCTTTTAACTTAATTATCAAACTATTTAAGTTTCATATCTCTTGATAACAGCCTAAATACTTTTAGTATGTAGTAATCAACCATAGAGCGTAGTTGAGAATTGCTGGCTTTGAAATATTTGGCGATAATATTGTGATAAAGTTTAGTTGTAGAAAACACATGTATATTGCAATTTAGATTTATAAATTGGATAAATTATTATTTTATAACTAGAGTTAGGCCATTTGATTTTAGTGTACAAAATATTGTACGACAGGAAAATACCATACTATTTATTTTTAGGGGCTTTTCATTGGACGATGCGCTTAGTATGTTAGAAGATGAAAATTTAGTAGCAAATATAGATAATATAGTTTGATGCCTCCAATAAATGCATGTCATGTCCTAACAGACGAAAAGACTGATGAAGATATACTGTTGATGGATAATTTACCTGGGTCGCAATTACAAGCTTCTGCTGAAATAAATATGTAAAAATAATAACGGTGACGCTTAGTAACCGATTCTCAAGAGAATATTTCATTACCAGAGCTGGGAGAAAAAAGAACAGTTAAAGGGTCTAAGAAAAAAAATCTACACTTACAAGATTAAAAAATTATGAATAAAGAAAAGAAGGGCCATATGACCACACAGAAAAATTTCTGATCAAAATATAATTACAGGAAAATGGCATAAAAATATTTTAGAAACGCTCTGTTGAAACTCAGCAGTACTTTAACCAATTCATCTTGTAAAGCGGTATTCACAGATGGAGAATAAGACGATCCAGGTACGAAACAAAATAGACAATCTTTCTCTGTAATGCTAGTAATATTTATCATTTCAGGTAGAACAACCACATCTCGTACATGACTATAATGTAAACATGGGCGGAGTAGATTGGAGTGATCAAAATATTAGTCTTTAACGCATTTCTATTCGTGGCAAAAAATGGTACTTTTCATTGATCAATCAATGCATTGACAAGGCTGTTCAGAATGCCTGGCAACTTCATCGTTTGCATGGAGAAAAACTGGACCAGTTATTATTTAGAAGACGCATTGCAAAATCATTGTTACAACAAAATAAAAAACCTACTTCCTATTCTCGAGGTCGTCCATCAGCCAATAAAAACATTGATATTCGCTATGATCGACTAGACCATTTAGTAATTCTCTATCGACTAGACCATTAGGTAATTCCTCTAATGATAGAGAAAAAACCAACTCGATATTGTTTGTGTCACGATAGAGCCAAAATGAGGTGTTCAACATGCAACGTAGGCATACATGTAAAATGTTTTGTTTCATACTAATAATAGTTTATATGCCTGGTGTACCATATTTTGTACAGTATTTTTTTTTACTTATTTTTCATAAACTTTTGTTTTTACGATAAAAATGTTTTTGTTAATTGATATAACACGTAAATTTGGAGAAAAATATTAAAAAATATTTTCATGTAGGTTTTAGGCATATCTGGGTTAAATATTTGAAGCAATAATAGATTGTGAAAGCCAGCTAAAGTGTTAAAAACCCTGGAGAGCGGGATTATTATGCCAGGGCCGTGAAATTACAGTAAATTTGAAAATATGAGTTTTTGCTGGTATATATAACATGCATCTATATATATATATATATATATATATATATATATATATATATATATATATATATATATATATATATATAATATATATATATATATATATATTATTGTGTATATTTGCGTATATATGGGGATGTTCTTTCTCAACCACGGCACGGCGCGATGGACGTAAAGATTTGTCCACCACCACTTACATACATACATACCGACACAAACACTCAATCACGGTTAATGAGCAAATCACAGACAGTTGCATCACAACTGACTCGTTATAAGGACAAATTTATTTTGCAACTACTGCGCTCCCTAATCACGAGGTTCAACATCATCGTACCCAGGAATGCATGGCACAGGGGAGGAAGTTTGGGGAAGTTAGCGATTGCCCTAAGCGATGTTTCATAGAGCTGTCGAAATCTGTGGGATAATAGCCTGAGCACGGCAAGGCTGACATTTGGTCCCAACCCAATGGATAGCGAACGATAACACTCAGACAACAATAACGGTCCGAGAGGGGACTCCAGTCGCGCATTCTGACTTCTTAAGAACTCATTTACCACCAATTAAAAAAAAATACAATTTACAAATATGAATTTTACATTTAATTGTTGTTTTGCAATCGATTTCCGGACTGGACGTCTAAACGTAAAAAGAATCTAATTTTTATTACAATCATTGCGATTTATTCCCAAAATATAAAATATTTTAAATACATGTCAATTATAATTACCGACCGTGAAACTTGAAACCAAGCAAATCAGTCACATAGTAACTATAAGGTGACTAAGTTTATTATAAATTTTGGGCGAAGGAAACTAAAAGGAAACATTTTATGTTACGAATATTTTGCAAAGGAATATTCCAGGTGGAATTCGCATCTTTTTTCGGCTTACGTTTTTAAAACATATCGTAATCTAAACAACACTAACCTAAAATGAACTAGACTCCTTAATCTATTAAATATGTTTGGACAACTTTTCAGTCAAAGGACCAAAATGTAATTATTAAAATACTTACGGGTATATGTTCTGCAAGTGATCTCAAAGAAGCCAGGTCCACTTGAAATGATGATAAGACACAGCTGGAAACTGGATTTTTCAATCCATTATCTACACAATCTTCCCAAAGTGAAGTTCTGGTTTCCAAAAGCCAATCGCAGACCAGTAAATGAGCCAGCTAAAAAAGATCATACTACCATTATCATTTCTAATTTGTTATAATTTATTACTTACATACAAATTCATTAAAATTTAATACAAATATATTATTTGTAATTTATTATTCAGATTAGAATTTCTTCAAGACACATTGTTCAAAAAATATGACCACATTAATTCTTAGATTTAATAATAAAAACAAGTCCTAATGGAGGTTAGATATCATCCTGGCCATTTCTTTTATTATCTCGATATCGATTCCATGACATCTTCAATATTCTTCTATAACACCAGATTTAAGAAGAAAAAAAACTGTTGTTTATATGTTCTTGTTTAAGTGTCGATCATTCAATCCAATAGAGCAATCTAAGTGTTCTTGTTCTCAATTGCTATGAAAGATAAGAGTTACAGTGAAACTTTCTCAATTAATTGAAAAAAATTCTAACTGCTTAGATCTTTGTACTTATCTCTCTTGTTTGATCATTACTGTGTGTTATGAAGTTCCTAGCTTTTTTTGTAATTACTATATATTTCGCGTTATTTTAATTTTCGCAGGACTTGTTTGTATTCTTTTTCTGCTTGTGTCCATTCCCTGTGGAGGTTGGCAATTACGTTGGAATTAATCCAAGGTCTTCACTACCTATATTCTTCAGGACGATGTTCTTCGACGCCCCTGAGTTCTTTGGCCTTTTATCTTAATTTAAAACATCAGCTGAATTAGTTAATGCTTCTTATTGCGCATCACGTACCCTAAGTATGACAGCTTTCCGATTTTCACAGTATGCATAAGTTCCCGATATTTCTCACATTACCGTATTGTTGTTGACATGATGGATAGGTGTTAAGATCCAGGCTGCCACTCAATAGAGAAGGGTGTTATACTTTTACGATCATTTTCGTTTTCTGTTAGGCTCGCATCATCTCTGTCCCCGCAAAGGAATATTTTGTTTTCCATGAAATATGATGTTTTGATTATAGGTACAAGACTGTCTCTGTTTTTTTAATGGTTTCCATTCTTTGTCTTGACAATTGATTTATAACCTCAAGTTTGCGGTTGTCTCGTGTCACCAAAAATAATTTTGCATTTATTGACGCTTCAACGTGGTACTTGAGCTGAGAGTGGGTCTCAAGGTCACCATACTTACCAGTAAGTTTGGCAAACTTTGTTAGTGATTCAGTCAAGTCTCTTGGCGATTATGGATTTCTCCAACCATTTTAGTATTCACAAAAATTATTCAACATTCAATGCAAAAAAGTTTTCTTCTTCTCAGATGCAAATTCACTAATGGATGTTAGCGATCACATTTTCCATTAATTCTCTATTTCTTGCAATATGTATCAGAGATTGTATGTCGTTAATACCTGTCCATTGCCTTATGTTTCGGAGCCAGGACATTTTCTTGCGCCCCATTGCTCTCTTGCCTTCAATTTTACCCTCGATTATAAGTTGGAGGAACTGGTATTTTTCATTTCGCATGATGTGACCTAGATACGCCGTTTTCCTTTTCTTGATGGTTTCGAAAAGTTGGCGTTCTTGGTTTATTCTTTTAAGGACATCTATATTTGTGATTTTCGCTGTCCATGGTATTTTTAGGATACGGCGATAAAGCCACATTTCGAAAGCTTCTAATCTGTTTATATCCCTCATTTCGAGTGTCCAGCCCTCTACGCCATATAGCAGCACTGACCATACGTAGCACTTAGTAAACCTTAGTCTCAGTTGAAGATCAAACTCTGAACAAGTCAGTACTTTCTTGAATTTTACGAAAGCTTGTCGAGCTTGCTCAATGCGACATTTTACTTCCCTGTCCGATGCCCAGTCTTCAAAAAGCCACGATCCCAAGTATTTAAATTTACTCACTCTTTCAATGGACTTAGTATTCAGTGTTATGGTGGAGTTTTCAAGTGCATTTAAGTTTCTTTAGATGATCATAAATTTGATCTTTTTGGTATTAATCTCTAATCCCATTCGCTTACTGTATTCTCCGATTATAGTGACAAGTTGTTGAAGATCGACTATGTTGTCACAAATTAAGACACCATCATCAGCATATCGTATGTTGTTGATCAATACTCCATTCACCTTGATTCCCATCTCTGCATCTTCCAAAGACTCTTGAAATATGGCTTCCAAATAAATGTTAAATAAAAGAGGGGAAAGCACACATCCTTGTCGAACGCCTCTTCTTATATGTATGGGTTTGGATATAGAATTGTCTATTTTTAACTGTGCCGTTTGATGCCAGTACAAGTTTTCAATGCATCTTATGTCTTTATCTATATATCAACTATATCAACTTTCTTGACAATCTGCATTAACTTGTGGTGTTGGACACGATCAAACGCTTTTTGGTAATCTAAAAAGTTTTAACTCGTGAGAATACTTAACAGCTGTTCAAGCTGATTATCATGCACTTGTCTGCGTTCAACCCGTCCCCTCTTGTTGTGCTCGGAAATAGGAAAAATGTGACCTATTTCAGGTTTATTTGGAGCTGTAAGAAGCGTCTATTTTATATCGTCACTAATATTTCCTGACGCCAATATATCCAAATAATAGCCAATATCCTTGGGATTAAAGGAATCAGTCAATGAATTTTGTTGTGGAAGATTCGACGAACGTTGGGCTCTGTACATCTGGTGCTATTTTTGCGGCTGAATAGTTACCAGAATCTTCACATGTTTCTACTTTCTTTTTCTTATTACATATCGGTTCCATAATGTAAATATAGAACACTATAGAAATAGACATTTTCTATGACGAAATAATACAAGCACTGAAAGAAAATCACACCCATTTTACAATCATATGTGGTAATACGAACGCAAAGATTGGCATGAAATCCGATCCATCAGAATTTGTACTTCGAAACTTCGGCAGCGATGGAAGAAATGAACGCGGACAAACTTTATTAAACTATCTCCTTCAGAACAAATTATATCAAATGAACAAAAATTATTACAAAAAACAACATAGAAGGTGGACATGGAGAAGCCCGGACGGGAGAACGCAAAATGAAATTGACTATATAATAACAGATAAAAAATTTATAGTTAAAGATGTCACTGTACTCAACAGCTTCACAACAAGAAGTGATCACAGAATGGTTCGCGCTAGAATAGAAATTAACATCGATAAATAGAGAAATAAACTAATAGGCAAGAAAAAATTGAAAGCATGGTCACAACCAAAAAATGAAACAGAGTTTGCAGATCAAATAACGGCACGTCTACAAAACAGGCGCCCCACAAATGATATAATGAATAAATCAGCTAAATAAAGTAATTGCTAATACCATAGCAGAAGCTCAAAGAAAATGTTGTACAGGTAACAAGAGAGAGGAGAGAATCACTGCTAACACCAAACTTAAAATGGAAGAAAGAAGAGAAATGCTAAAAGATAAGAGTATAGAACAACAAAGCATAAATAAAATCAACAAAGAGGTCTCAAAAGCAATTAGAAAGGACATAAGGGCATATAAAAATGAGAAAATCTCGCAGACAATCGAGCACAACAAGAGCATGAAGATATTAAGAAGGAAATTGACGAACAGCAGAAAAGAAATCATCAGACTTAAGGGAAAGAATGGCAAACTAACGTCCAACAGAGACGAAATGCTAGAGATAGTAGAAGACTTCTATAAAACACTATACACAAATAAATTGGACTTAAACCCGACAGAACATACACAACAAAAAATTATGAATCAAGGTTCAGAAGATATTCCCGACATATCAACGGCTGAAATTTACCATGCTCTAAAGAAAATGAAAAAAAAAAAAAACAAAGCACCAGGAGAAGATGGAGTAGTGGCGGATGCGCTAAAAATCGGAGGCTCTGCTCTCATCAGGACAATCAAGCAGCTCTTCAATATATGCTTAGAAAACCAAGCAATACCAAGAATGAATGGAATAATTCTATAACGCTCCTCATGCATAAGAAAGGAGATCAAACAGACCTCGAAAACTATAGGACCATCAGTCTTCTAAGTCACCTGTATAAATTATTTGCTCGAATTATCACTGCCAGAATTGAGAACAAACTAGAAACATGCCAACCAAGAGAACAGGCAGGTTTCCGCCCTGGGTATGGTACAAATGACCATCTAACTTGTCTAAAGGCCCTAATTGAAAAAACTATAGAGTACAACCGGCCACTAGTTCTAGTATTTGTTGACTATAAAAAAGCCTTTGACACTATCGAGATGGTAGCTATCTTAAGAGCTTTGAGAGAATGTAGAATCGACTACCGATATACCAGCATTATTCAACATATATATGCAAATGCCACAACAGCAATAAACCTCCACACCCCTACTCAAAAAATAAAACTAAAAAGGGGAGTTAGACAAGGAGACAACATGTCACCAAAACTATTCAATGCCGTAATGCAGCATGCATTTCAGATGTTAGAATGGGAAAACAGAGGTTTGAGTGTCGATGGCGAAAGGCTGAACCACCTACGATTTGCAGATGACATAGTTCTAATAACCGACGACCTAAAGGAGGCCAATGAAATGCTACAAGATTTACAACGAGTCTCCCAAAAAGTAGGGCTGGAAATAAACTTTGCGAAAACTAAAATGATGACCAACTTAGTAGCTAGTGGACCATTGAAACTAGAAAACTGGCATATTGAAACGGTTGACAAATACATATATCTGGGCCACGAAATACAAATAAGTAGAGACAACCAAACATGCGAATTATCTAGAAGAATAGCTTTAGGATGGGCAGCCTATGGCAAGCTAAAAGACGTGTTTAAGGAAAACATCCCAATAAAGCTAAAGAGAAAAGCATTTAACCAGTGCGTACTTCCGGTGCTCAATTATGGAGCTGAAACACTGACATTGACTAAAGCATCAATAAAAAAGTTACAAGTAGCACAACGAAAAATGGAAAGATCTATGCTTGGCGTAACTTTGAGAGACCGAATACGAAATGATGAGATACGGCGAAGAACTGGAGTGGAAGACGTCATAAAACGGATTACGAAGTTGAAGTGGAAATGGTCAGGACACGTCGCAAGACAGAGAGACAACAGATGGACAAAGAAGATTTTAGAATGGCGGCGAAGGGCAGACAAGCGAAATCGTGGAAGACCACCTACCAGATGGACGGACGACATTAAAAGAATTGTGACAAACTGGATCGCAGCTGCACAGGACAGAGAAGAGTGGAGACATCTTGAGGAGGCCTATGTTCGACAGTGGACAGATTTGGCTGTGTGATGATGATGAATGTAAATAGCTTCCGATTCGCCAAATAGTCCGTATAGCTATCTATGTGCCAGACAGAAATATATTAAATACCATGACGCGGACGCGCGTTCTTCATAGGACAGTACAACTACTCGATAACTCGAGTCACGGAATCGCTTGACTCGACTGAAGCATGATACTGTGACTAACATTAGTGTTGTTCATGACGTTAGTGTTAGTTATAGTATCATGGACTAAAGAAAGAAACGAATGAATAGAGTGCAGGTTAACTGGCACGGGCAGTAATAAAAGTGTGACAGCAGGGGGGGGGGGAGCGTCCCCTATATGTATCAGCCACTGAGCCCCGGTGTTTTAATGTTTTTCAATCAAGAACATATGTTTCTGAGTGTTGGTCTTTAAATAATCCTTCCACGTATTACCATCTATATCTTTCAGTATATTGTCCCATCGTTGCAAAGCAGTTTGTTTTGTTTGTCCAGTATTCAGTTATTTCTTCGCGAGTTGTTTTCTCCTATTACACCCTTAATTTTTTATGTAGATTAAAAGTGTCATGCTTCTTTACAGGGATTCTATTTCAGGATTGTTTCCCAAGTAACAAAACTGAACAAACTAGAATTCTGATAACATTTTGGGGACCGTCACCTAGAGATTTCCAGGTCTTCAAGGCAGTAACTGGAAAAATGTGGTCATTATCACATTGTTTATTTCTTGACAGAACTGTATGAGTCGATCTCTTCTATCATTCATTATTCATAATATAAAGTGTCCTACAGTATTTGCAACGACTCCTTTGCCAATTTTAGCGTTTTAATGTTCCAGCAGGACATTAACTTCTTGTTTTTTGGTGTACTTAGGGCATATGGCTTTAGTTGCTCATGGAATATTTCTACTTCTTGTTGTAAGCGTGCAACAGTTGGAGCGTATGGATGAATATATCCATGTTAATTGACGTGGCATTGATTTTGATTACTGCGACTTCACTCGATCTTCCCACGAAACCAAGTACACAGTTAACTTCTTTGTTCACTCTTATAGCTCTCAGTTTTGGTTCCTCGTAGAAACTTCTTCGCAGTAGTATACCGTATGACTATCTATTTAATAAATTGTTTGTATCGTTGACTAATCTTTGGAGTTCTTTTACTGTACTTGAAAGATGACCGTATCATCCACTAATCCTATATTGTTTATTATTTTGCCGTTGATTATGATTCCATATTTTTGCGTTATCGATGAAGAATAATTATTGCTTCGTTGTATATGCTAAAAAATAACGACACAGTTCATCCTAAGTTCTCCTTCTATGTTAATAGGGCTTGTTGGTTTCAGTATAAGATGGTAAGTAAGCCTGATAAGCGATATTCTGAGTCTGTAGTAATTGCATCAGTGTTTTATGTCGGGCTACTGAATTAAACTTTAAACTTTATTTCAACAATTATCTTAAACATCTCATTAGATTAAAATATGTAGACATAAGCTGAGCTTTAAGTTGCACTGAAGAAACATTGCACTTCAATTAACATGCAATGCAATCACAATGCACCTCAACGAACAACTTTGAGACAACTCTTTAGTGATGCTTGTCATTATCATTGAAACAAAACCTAACTATCAAATAGGTAAAGATATATTAATTAATTTAAAGAATAAGCGGCGACAATATTAACATTTCCAAAATTTTATGGATCGAAATAAGTAGATCGCCGAACATGCAACTATTTATTCATACATATTATCATTTTTTTTATCATGTTCACTCCAGGGTTTAGTTATTGGTTGTTTGTTTTGACAAAAAAATCGCTTCATGTTTTCAGAGAGCGTCCTTCACTTCTTCTTCCTTTCGGTTTGCAATTTAGTATTTATTTAGTTAGATTTTCATCCATTCTGTTTATATGTTGTTTCCATTTAGTTCTATATTCTATTATTTTCTCAATAATAGCGTAGATATTCAGTTTTATGTATCCATTTAAGTTATCTCTTAGTATCATTTCTTGTCTTGTTCTTCATTGCTCTGTGAATTTTTCCGCACATATGCTGAAATCTGTCAATGATTATCAACGTCTCTACCTTTCTCCAAACTTCTAGGTAACTGAAATGACTCACTCGTTCTAGTGGATAATCGTCAATTACTATTTTTGTTCGCATGGGATATTTACCTTCAAACACCATAAAAAGTATTGTTTTAATTTGTGTATGTTCATTTGTATACCTGTCCGTGTTTTGTCCTGTTCTCTTATGGTGCAGCCAATTTATGTTTGTTTCGTTTGTCTTTATTTTAATCGCGATATTTATTACATTTCGGTAGATACCTTTGATTTTTCTAATCAGGTGTACTGGGTATCTTATATTTTCCATAATTTCAAGTAGTTTAAATCAATTGCATTCATTTGAATTACCAATTGATTTCAAGGCAATTTCCTTACCCCTCGTCCAACGCACCTTGACGTACGATGGTTTATAATACACAATATGCACTTATCCACCATGATAATTTCCCAGTAAATGCGTTTTTGCTAGTTTTCACGGAACTGCGAAGAACTTTCGGTTTCACAATTTCCCCCCTTATAACTTGTAATGCAAAATCAAAACACGTCATCAGTTTTTCTTACCTGTTGTAGTGTAGGTTGCGGTTGCATTAATCTCCTATAGGTCAGTAATATAACACAACACTAAATTGCGATTCAAAAGATGAGATGGTATTAAAATTTTCCAGAAAATCAATTTTTATTTTTCTACATATCTGTCATACACAAAAAACATACAAATATGCTTCTGAAATGTGCTCTTTTCGTAGAATGCTGAATCATTCACTTTAGACAGATCGTTCATAGTACACTACACCATTGAGTTAGTGCACTACACTACACCAACTTAAAACTAGACTTTATCTCACCACATAGTATTTTAAGATATTTTGGATATATTATAGTGCGTTTGCCATTAATAATAAACTGGTGATAATTACACTTAAAAAAGCCAAATGGTAGTTGCTTTCGCAGTATTTTAATTGCCACTGTGACTTCTAAGTGGTGATATAGAAGGTATCGTAATAATTAAAAAAATATTAATAAATAAAAACCTACCATAACTGTTTGGTCCTTTTTCTTACAAACAGTAAAAGTTAAACTATCCACCAAAAGATGGCTGGCGTAGTCGCATTGCAATAAAATCTTCTTAGGGCTTATACTTGAATTCTGAGTCAAATAATCTCTTCTAGCTATGAAGGCTGCCACGATCGCTTTTGGTAGTGGATCACTCAGTGATGCTAAAGGTTCCGGTACCATCTCAATTTTCTTGTAAAGTATTTCCGCTTCTTGATCGCCTAAAATCCAATGGCAGGCGATAGATAGAATCGTCATCCACCATTGAGCCACCTTATCTTGATGACCTGCAAAAATAAATTAGAAAATCACTTATTTTTCTAAACAGTAACAGTAAAAATTCTAAAACAATTTTTTAACTAACTAATTTTCTCAAATTGTTTAGATATGTCGATTCAGATACGGCGGCCTAGGTAGGTAGCTCAAAGGTAAGCGTATCCGTCTTTGGTGCTGAATGATGTGGCTTCGATTCCCCACTACAAAAATGAAAAAATAGTGCTTAAGTAGCAGCTTCGAAGACCTGATAAATCACAAAGTCGTAATCTGTGTAGTAAAACTCTTACAATTAGTCGAGTCGTTCGGATTAAAAGTTAAACGATCGGTCTGCCTACCTGTATACATTTAGTGATACACAACAAACATATATACAGAGAAGTTGCCTTGGTTCAAAATTGGGTATGGCACATTACGAAGAAGTTTACAGATGACTATGATATTGTTACGACTTTAGAGATATTGTTAGATTAAAATTAAAAAAAAAACAAAGGAAACATAAATCAAATAAAGAGATACCACTCTAGCTAACAAGCCATGCCCTGGTGACCGGAGTGGACTACATCCTATACTACTACAGTTATATGTACTATTTCGTGCCAATTAATGAAATATAATTCAAATAATCTTCTAACCCATCTGGCCCGCTTGGAAGATTATGGTGACAAAATTCCTATAAGAAAAAATGGATAGAACAATGCAGAAGATAGATATACAAATGTGTATAGACAAAATTTATTTGTAAATATCAGCTTAGATAAAATTATAGAAAGGTACAAAATCTGAGAAAGAATAAAATGAGCGATAGGGTAATATCCATTTTTTTATGCTGATGATCTGATATTTACTACAGCAGAGGTTGAGGTTGATGATTGTATTTTGTATTTTTTTTTAACCTCAGTGAACTTTTTTAACTGGAACTATAATGAAAATATAACAGGTACATCTTGCAACGACAGAAAAAATCCAATTAGTCCCTCTATCACAGAATTAGGTAGATATATAGGTTTTTGAATACGGTTTAAAACATTTTTAACAATGTCTAAACCCAAAATCGAAGAATGACTAAAGGGAAGTTAAGTTTTATAATTTTTGAAATATTTTGAAATTGTAATAGCTTTTAATTTGGTATTCAGTAAAATAGAAAATAAATATGTGAGATAATTTTACCGAGTAGAAATTTTAACTAGACTTAAAAAATTGAATTTTGTTAATTTCGAAATAATATGTTTCGAAAAAGTTTAGATTTGGATATAGATAAAGAATCAGCTGGAGGCATTTGAGATGTGGGCGTACCGAAGAATGTTAAAAACCTCCTGGAAGGATAAGATAACTAACCAAGTTGAATTAGACAGGATGAACAAACAAAAGGAGGTCGTATTGAGTGTTAAAATGAGGAAACTACAATACCTGGGACATATTACACGTGGGAATAAATATCAACTGTTACAACTAATTATGCAAGGAAAGATTGAAGGTAGGCGCAGCATAGGTAGGAGAAGAATGACATGGTTGAGAAACCTCAGGGAGTGGTTTGCTTGCACTTCCATACAATTGTTCCGAGCGGCAGCCTCCAGGGTCAAAATTGCCATGATGATAGCCAACCTTCGTAGCGGAGATGGCACGTGAAGAAGAAGATAAAATCAGAAATGTCCAAGAGCATAAGAAAGAAAGAGAAGAAAAGTAAATTTATGAAAACATAAATAACGGCAACAATATGAGACCACATTACTGATAAACCATGGTTTTAGAAAATGGAACCAAAAAAGAATATGACAACTATATGCAAAATAAGATTTAACCAAAATTTTACATCATCATATCTGCTTAAAATTAACCTATCTCGTAGTCCACAATATTTTTTTGATCAGATGGGTAACATACAATACAACATTTTGGACTGTTTTTTTACATGTAATAATATTTAGTATATTTTGGAATTCACTGTATTGTTTCGACTGATGTCCATCGTTCAATTAATTTGAACTATTTATTAACATTAGAAAAAATTGAAAATATAGGTAATCTAGTAAAATGATATAAACTTACAAAAGAACAGTGTCAATAACAATAAATGATGAAACATTGTGCCCTAAAACGACCAATATTTGGTGACCACAAGGAAGTATACTAAACCCTATATACTTAATATACACGTTAAATTTTTGTACTACAATTTACCGATGATATTTTGTATCTATTCACAATATATTGAAGAAGGTTGTAAAAAATTAAATATAGCTTATAAGGACCTCAATAAACGATGTAATAAAAATAGTCTAAAAATTTCCAGGAAAATACAGAAATCTTTGCAAGAATAGCGTACGTACGTGCGTCCGTAAAATACCTAGGAATGTGTCTGGATAAAAAAAAATGAGATGGAAAATTCACATAGATCATCTAATCGAGAAAACAACAAAATAATTGACATCTTAGCGTCATAAATGTTTGTTAATCCTTCGGGTTATTCCTCGGTTTCAAAAATTGTCAGACCATCGTTTTCTTGGTTTTACTAACAAACATCAAGCCTATTAATCTAATCTATTGTCTCTGGAGTTACGAACAGTAAGTAGTCGAGGATATCTTTATAGGATCTTGTGGGACACTCTTCAATAATGTGGTCAATGGCCTGGTTCTCCTTTCTATTCTGGTAAAAGATCTTATTTAGGGTAGCAGCTTAAGGATAGTTAAAAGCATGTTATTGTTTTGCTGTGCAGTTCATTCACTAGACTAGACCATGCGTTAGTAATACTGAATCTTCTACACTCGTTCATGCAGCTCTTGTTAACGGTTTTCTAAAACGAAGTCAGCTAGTATTTGCATCATTAATATCGTTGTGGATCAGTAGTTTTCTGTTGCTCGTGATTTTTTGTATTCGTCTTTACCATTCACCATCATATTACGTCCAAATAATCGTAATATGATGGTGAAATATGTCATAATATTGTGAATCATTGCGGTGGAGTGATTTTATTACTTCAACTTGTAGAACAATGGTGAATTCGAATTGAAACGAAATGTAATCTTTTACTTTTATTTTAACGTCTTTTTCCTACGTAATGAGCGAAAGAGATAGGGTTTTTCAAGAGTGAACCGTAGATGCATGTCGAAGATATCTGGCGTTATGAATGTGAAAGAGATGAAGATATAGTTAAATAAACAACATATTGTTTTGATTGTTTTACTTACATTGTTCTGATGAGGCTCCAAATACGGTACGGGCGTCAACAGCAACATTATCTTTTAAAAGTTCGAGATACATTAAAGCATCATTAATATCTGTCTTTTTGTCTTGTGTGTCATTTTTTTGTCCCGGTGTTAACAAAATTTGCAAAGCCTTCTCTAAAAGATGTTCTCTGTATATCTAAAAAAATGATTCTATTTAATTAAAAATAAAAATCAAAAATTAGATTTCGGTATTGATATTCGCTCCGTGAGTGACTGACATGACACCTACCGCCTTCATCTGACAGTTTTGGAGCTTCCAATTTGAAATTAAACATTTTGTTAAATGCATACGAAATTGACAATTATTAATAATTAGTTATTATTTTTTTCAATTTATGTACAAAATAAATGTAGTATTAAAAACTGGGTTTCTAAAAATTCATCATAATTTATCTCTTCAATCCCAAACGAAAAAAAAATGAAAAATCTAGTAATAAAAATTTTCATGTAGAAGAGCATGTAATTAAAAACAATAATAGTAAAAGTTATGATATAAAAGCTAAAGTCAACAGGCAGGCTGCAGTTAGCTTCAAGCCTTATAAAATATAATTTAAGTTAAATTATTTAAATTGTTCCTATTTCAATTGAATAAAAATGAAATTGTCATATTTACTTTTTCATATTAATAGAACGAATCCATCTTTTTCTTTTCTCTAATTTTTATGTAATCTTTGGAAACCTATAAAAACTACACTCACTATTTTGGCTATTATTGGCACAATTAAATTCGCAACATGTATTTGCATCCATTTTTGATTAAATTTATGCGTAAAAAGATAGGTCCAATTTTGTCATATTTCGCCGCTATGCACGCTGGCATCGTTTCAAGGTACCCCTACCATGGTTACGCACGGAGCGAATAGTCTTAATATAAAAAATATAATCATAAAATTACAATAAATTCATAATTATATTAACCCAAACTTAATTATAAAAACCCAATTAAATTCAAGCACAATGAACAAGTAAATAATAATCAACAAGTTTTGAATCAAATTATAAATTGTATAAACTTTTGTGGAGCGTTTCGTTGTTTAGTTTTAAGAAGTCACGAGGAAAAGGAAAATTAAGAAAATAGTTTACAATTACCTCAAAAACAACGCTAAATGAACTCATTGAGCATGCATATTAGATGTTTATCACGAAGAAATTACGAGAGAAATTGAAAATTGTCCTTGTGAAAATCACTGCAGATTGCCGATGAAACGACAGACGTTGCTAGGGAATTTCAGTTTAATTATAGTTTTCCGAACAAATTAATTGCTCAAAGTTACGACTGGTGGCTTAAAAGGTTTTAAAAAACCTTTAAGGGTAAGGGCAAAAAATATTTAAGGAAACATCTGTTGCGTAACAACAATATCTAATATTTTTTATTTTATTTTTGTATCATATTATTATATCATACTGTACATTAGTTTAGATTTATAAAATTGCTTTGTACCATCCAATAATCTGTAAGGCGCCGATAGCTTGCATTAAAATAACTTTCTAGACTTAAGCTTCTAAAACCTTCAAGGAATCTAACAATGAAAGGATTAGTATTTTCCAAATTATCGGTTTGACTCATTCGAAAATTCCGAAAGTTGAGACAAATAGTAGTAGTACTCAGGTAGTTTTTACCAAGGAATTAAAAGTCGAAGGTATTTGAAATGTAAATATATTCTTTATATAGGTCGAGGGGTCAGGGGGGATATTTCTGAATGTTAACAAAATTACGAGTCGAGAGATTGAAGGCAGTTCAAATCAGTATCAGTTCAAATTCCAGCATTGGATGTGGGCTAGGCTCTATTCGCGCTAGCCGCACCTAAGAAGCTTTAACACCGTCGTGATATTAATAAGTTTACTCAGTTCGGGTTATATAGTTTTGTAGTTTCATAAAGTTTACTTTCATAAATCAGCTATCGTATGCAAGTTATCGGCGCCCAAAATACGTTGTAATTGTTTAAATAGACTTGTTAAAACGTTCTTTTCGAATCTTTCATTTGTCACAGTTTTCTGGGTGGTCCTTCAAAGAAGTATATAAAGTGAACCTATTTCCCTAAGGAAAAACCTTGTTCCCCAAGGGAAAAAACCAGCGACCTATGACTGGTGCGTGAAACAAAGCCATCAGGACAAGGTGTAAGGACAAACACACTTGCATCTTCGCTCAATATCCTCTTGCAAATTACGTTCACTGGTATGCACATCAAATGAATTTAATTATGACAAGTGTATGTTTTATCAATAAGCAAGCTAGGATATATTTTTTTAATTTATCTGGTTTTTGCTCATTATTTTCTACGTCTCTTCAAAGAACAACAACTCTTCCCAAACACGTTGTAATTTTCAATTACAGGGTGTGCATACCGTTTATGAAAATAGAAAAGACCTCATTGCAGTTATGGACATTATACAAAGTGCTTCACGTGATTTGTCGTCCATTAATCAAGCAAACGATTATAAATTAAAGCTTTTAGGATAAACATTTCGTATTTTGGTTATTTATTTTTTATAAAATAATGCCTCACGTAGAAATTATTTTTCATGAATTGTAAAAAGTATGCACTGATTCTGGTAAGGTGAAAAAATATTTAGAGGGGACAATTCAAGGTATAAGGAAGTAAATGGACGTCATTATTGACAATATTCAAGGAGAAATAAACACGTAGAGAAACGGATAATGATGAACCGCGAATCACGAATTAAAGAGAACAGGCTAAGCAGAAAACGGGAAGCCTTAGTGAGAGCGTCCACCAAAGTGGCGTGGCAGTGGGAAGTAGCAAGTAGCACGCGTCTAGCATAATGTAACCAATCCTAACGAATGATTAGAATGAATAACGTTACTGTCATTTTGGTGTAAACTGAATCATTCGTTTTCATTGGTTACATTATGCTAGACGCGTGCTACTTGCTACTTGCCACTGCCACGCCACTTTGGTGGGCGCTCGCCCATAGAGACATGCGATGCAGTTTTGTTGCAAATAAAAACATGGTTTATCTTCTCGGGACATTTAGTTGCTTCTAATTTATTTATGTCGGAGAAGTTTTGCGCTTATAAGCATTAGTTGCCTGAATGATTTCATAAGAAAAAATGCAGACAATTTTTATTTTTAAAATAAACTCGGCTTAAAACTGAATTACAAGTACTGTATCAGAGAGACGAATTAAGTACTATCTCTCAGGCTGTTTCACTATCAGTTCTATTAAATAAGAAAGGTTTAAGGTCGATTCACACACATCAGTCCCGTCGCCGACCCGATTAATTATCTGACAGATGGGAAACTGTTCGCCGACTGATGAATGTGAATGCTGGCGCCATATTTCTATTAAAGAATATTTTGTATGATGGATTGTTCGGATAGGCGCCAGGACTGTGACGAGACGTGACTGATGTGTCTGAATCGACCTTAAAAGTGTACATTTGAAAAAACTTGTGAGTATTTTAATTACAATTCCTATGCCAATATCTGAAGCAAAACGCTGTTTTTCGATGATAAAACGAATTAAAAAATTCCTTAGATATGCTAAAGGAAGAACGACATAGTGCTTTAGGTATGCTATCTGCAGAAAAACAGTTTGTAAATGGCATTGATAATTTTAATAATAGGGTCATTGAAAATTTGCAACCAAAAAAGAATGAAGGATATACTTCAATCGTAATAATAAACTTCAAGTACTATCAGCAGTAAATACTGGCGCTAAGTTAAATTTTTTTATTGTTAATTAATTTACGGAACTGTTTTGATATGTTTTTAACAATTTATTGACACCCCAGAAATAGTAGATCCCTACATAATGTAAAAGTATCCGCGCCTATTTTTTTTAATTTCTATTTGATACCTTTTTTGACAATATCATAAACCCGTCACTAAAAATTTAGACAGCTGCCAGAATTCTGGCGCTACTATCTTAAAATGATATGAGTCGCCACTGGATACTATCAGTAAGGATCTGCATGGTCTTGTATGGAAAATATCTACGTAGGCTGGAGATACTAATTAATCAAAGCAGTGAACCGTAAGTGGCGACAAATACTTCCGCGCAGGAGCTAGAAGTGCAGCAAGGCGAATCTCTAAAAATTTGGGGCCCAATTTTAGAGGATAATAGACAATCGTAAGTATACCAGGCATTGAAGTTTAAAATTGTATCTTATGTAAATTTGAATTTCATAGAAATAAGAAAATCTTAAATTCTCATAAGGAAGTTATTGCCTTTTATCTAGACTACAGGATTTCTTGTTGGGGTTTAATCAAAGGGTATGATTTGGTACAAAGGTCTCACCACCGAGTGTCAAAAAAATGCAGTGTCTCACCTGAAGCAACAAGAAAAAAGAGGAGGAGGCTATGATTATGATTCTTTTTTCAATGAATGAAATCTGTAACATTAAGTTTATTTGAGCTATTAGTAATGACAGGTTGGAATTTTTGAGTTGTTTGTTGCCGACAATTAATCTGTCATAATATTCTCACACTGAGCGAAAGGACCTTAATGTGTAACATTTATCAATATAAACTAAGTTGACTTACTTTCATTTGAACAGCAAGTGGATCTATGCTAGTTCCAATACAACTAAATGGTAAGTTTCTAGTTTTACCAAGGTCACTATTAAAGTTGTGTGATACGAAAAATTTGTAACCGTAGGGAGTCATTAACCACTGCAATCTTTTGGGTATTGCATCAACTGAATTCACTGATGATAGTCGTGCCAATCCCAAGTAATATCTAAAATAAATACAATCCAAATTAACTTTTTATTAGGTAAAAAAATAGGAAAATAAATACTTATCAGTCTTTTAGTTCATCTTCAGGTCCCGATAAAAGGTTTCTTAACCAATAACAATACGAAAAGAATGGTGTAAAGTAGGTAACACCTCGTTTATGCCTTTGTAGTGTTGATGTAGAATATTGGTCTAGACCAACAGTTATATTGTTAGTGGTTAAGTAACCTTTAATCGGGAACCTGAAGATAGACTGAAATTTTAGAGCCCGAAAACGTTCTCCAAGTTACAATAAAAACAATTCAAGATTTTAATTTTTTATTGTTGGTAATAAGGGATGACAGGTTTCGGGGTTTACAAACCCTGCACCATCAAATCTAGTAGTAGAAACTTTACAAAGTATCAGTACAAGAACACACGTATTTTAGAAATATTGAACAATTGAAGATACAGATTTTAAAATACTTGTATTTTGAAGTAATTTTTTTCTATAAAAGTTGTTGTCAAAATAATATTGCCACATGGAGAACAACATACAATCACAACATATATAACGCTAGCACATTATAAAACAATCTTGAAAGTTTTATTTAAGTCATTTTTGATCTTTTGCTTATAATCATGAAGTCATAAATCGTGCATATCGTGTTAACCATTTATAACCTTCGTTTGAACATCATTGCTATAATCACAAAAATCACAATTGGTTTAGTATACGCACAATTTTATCAGAAAATAACGAGGATATAGATGACTTAAACTTAAAAATCCAAATGAAATCGTTGATCCACTGCATTCCTTGGAATCTCTCGACTGTGTAACAACGAAGACATGTGCTTGGCTAAAGGTCGTCATCATAATTTGGACCAACTGAAACTATGTAACGGGACGCGTTTGGTGCGGCGAAAACTCATAGACAATATACTACACGCGATGATACTCAAAGGAAAATTTAAGGACGAGGAAGTTCTTATTTAGAGAATGCTGATAATACCAACCAATATGCCATTCGAATTTGATACCCAATGCTTAAATGTTTGTAAACTGAATATAGAAAATAAATTATATAAGTTCTAAATTCTCTCATGGCTAATTGTATACAGTAAGTATGTTTTACGTATAGGCAAACCATCCACTTTATTCATACTCGCACCTGGTAACATAACGAAAAATATAGTATATCACAAGGTCCTCCTTGCTTTGTTGTCTCAGGAATTAGCTACTTTTTGAACTTTTATTGAACTTTAAATGAAAGAATTGCCAATGCTGAATGGTATGCAACCATTTCGCACCCTCAGTGCAAGACTGCAGTAAGTCAGAATAAGTAAGTTTCGCTAATATTGGTGAAATAAGACACAAGGTTTAAGAAAAATTAACATTTAATTATGATTTGCATGTTTTTCAGCCTATATTACATTAGGTCTAACTGGTAAGCTGGTTTTGTATGTTTTCAATAAAATTGATAGTGTGTAAAATAGTTTAATAATTAAGCTAAGTATACTTTCGACATAATAAATGTCATCATCAGAGCTATCCTAAAATAACGTTAAGTTAAGTAAATTTTTTATATAAAATACAATGATAGAAAAAACTTACGTCAATTAGGTAATAAATACTTCATAGAAGGACAATTGTGCACAAACGACATATTAAAATTCAAAGATCGGGCTCTGTAGGCCACAGATCTTGGGTCTAACCCTTATACATATGTATAATTCACATATATAATAATATAATATAATATGTGAATTATACATATGTATAAGGGTTAGACCCAAGATCTGTGGCCTACAGAGCCCGATCTTTGAATTTTAATATGTCGTTTGTGCACAATTGTCCTTCTATGAAGTATTTATTACCTAATTGACGTAAGTTTTTTCTATCATTGTATTTTATATAAAAAATTTACTTAACTTAACGTTATTTTAGGATAGCTCTGATGATGACATTTATTATGTCGAAAGTATACTTAGCTTAATTATTAAACTATTTTACACACTATCAATTTTATTGAAAACATACAAAACCAGCTTACCAGTTAGACCTATTTAGAAGTGTGTACAAGTCTTACAGTCTTTTTCAATTTAATATATTACATTAACCAAAAATAGAAATTTAAATAAAATAATATTAATGCTAAAAAAATTAGGAATTTCAAAGTTACACTTTTGCACGGAGAAAATTGTAAAAAGTGTACACATTTTCTGTTAGTTGTTGTCCTCTTCTCGTATATCATCTTGGGCCAAATTTTTTTTATAAAAACTATGGTGGGCTTCTGGTAGAATAAATAAGTACCTAATAAAACGGCTTATCGCTAGCGGCAATTTAATCTTTCTCACATGATATGTTTCTATATCATCTCTGCACATGATATGTTTCTGATTCCCACAGTTCCTTAGCTTTGTAATGACAATGTCATAACAAGGTAGAAATATTATTTGTAAAACTTTCAATATTTTTATTTAAATTCAAAACAAAAGGACTATACTAAAAATATGCAAATCAGGTTACCTTGAGTACAGTGATTAACAAAAGGATTGAAATTCACTACCTTAGTAAAAGTTGGGAATTACGGGGGACAATATGATAATGATAAGACAATCGCCATGAAAGGTTACATAAAGATTTAATACAATTTGGGATTTAGTTTTTATAGAAGAAGTTTTCTGAGAATATATATTTTTAACCTGTCAGTACTGTTAATAAACAAGTTTTAAGATAACTGTTTTTTTCTTTCATAAGAACAAATACTTTTTGGCTGTAAATAATTAGTCTTAATTTATGTGTTTTTAATCCAATCTAATAAATAAATGGTCAAACGACATCGCACACATTTTATGGAAAATCCCATTTATGTCCCACAAAGGACATAAAACTTACATGAATAGATTGGTCTCGTAAATCCTTGTTTATTGTCTCGGCCGTTAATGGATTACGTAGACACGCTGTATATTAAAATTAAACACCACAGATATAGATATTAAAATAACAAATATCTTACTTTTTTCGTGCCTTTCACTGCTTGTTATCGAAACCATTGCAATGTTCCGTGAAAAACTGTTGTAACTCTGATACATTAGAATTACAACAGTTTTGCACGGAACTTATGTACAAAAACGCAAAATAGTTAAACTGTTGTTGTTGTAATATTTAGCCGGTTATGCATTTGAAAGTTACTAAAGTTTTACAGAGGAAAGATATGCATATTTACAATCGAATACCATGATTACTTCATTTTCATAAAATTTTGAGTTACTGCAGTCTTGCACTAAGGGTGCGATTTGTTTGCCATAAGTGATTAATGAATTACAGTAGAATACTCTACTAGTGAATACTACAGTAGCAATGCAACCAATTTGATTTATTATTTTTAAAAGAACCTGCATACTACAGCAACAATTAATATTAAGTCCAGGGGAAACTACAACTACCTGAGAAAAAAGGAACGCCCAATAACGTTTAAAACAAAAGAAGCTGTTAACGTGAGCACATTCTAAAAGAATAAGTAATATAATAATAGCATAGCTCGCAAAAAAGGTAAAACAATGTATAAAAAGATGGTAGACAACTGTAAATGCGTATTTCTGACTCATTGGTCTTCATTAGTATGCTGCAACTAAGAATAAATGAAATTAACTTGAGACAGGATTACGACACGAATAACACATTTATTTATTCCAACATTAATGCTGGAATAATGTGCATTTCTAAATAAAAAATAATATTGTAGCCAAATGCGACTCAATTCTCTCTACATATCTATTCTATAATTTAATTACTGTTAAACTGGGAATAAGCCACAATTAAAGATAAAAATACGTTTATTGACGTTTCAATTTCCACTTCGGAAATCTTTAATTGTGGCTTATTCCCAGTTTAACAGTAATTAAATTACAATGCCACAAGAAAATAGCTTCAGAACAATATCTATTCTATATTCTAGACATACACAATCTTCTAATTTTAAAGAGGTTCAAGTATATAAAAGATTTTAAAATCTTAAAATAAATGATTTGTCAAAACATTGAAAAATTCTCCACCATGAACTTGTTCAATGAAAATTTTAAAACGCAAAAATTAAAACCTTACCTTTGTATAGCGTGAACGAAGTTGGGCAAACTAGCTTTAATTCTAAGGGCCACTCCAACATAAATGTCAACCAAATCGATTGGTTTAATTCTATCTTTGGCAGCTTCAGCGAGATTTAAAGCATTTAAACACGTGATTACACCAATTAAATGATTTCCTTCTTCCTGTCCTCCAACTAGTTGTATTTTGTGTAAATCGTTGAATACCAAAGCTAATTCCTTGCATGATGATTGAGCTTCGTATCTTGCCATTCTACAAAAAAAATCCTAAATTTGATTTCCACTTTTATTATTTAACTAATAATACCGAAATATTGTGAATGTATTTGGTGATGATTGTATGCGAATCCTTTACATTAAATCGCCCGATAAAAACTGTTTTTTCCAGTTCACATGACAAAAAAGGTTTTTGGTGGGCAACTATAATAGTCACTCTTTTTTAGGAAATTCGAATGGGAGAATGTATATAAAAGAGTCATTCTAGCTGTAAAATGTAAATTAATGAGCCTCTTGCGATTTGTGATATAAATGTTTATCTGTGACATTTTTTTGCTTTATTATTTTTTCAGCAGGTCGTAACTGTTGTTTTAGTGCAAAAGTGAAAAATTGTTATTGAATTTTGTAATTCTATTGTAAATGATTTGACGTTGATAAATAAATAAGTACTATTGATATTTAATACAAAAATGTAACAGGGTAAAGTTACCAAAGGAATGAATAGCTGAAAGTGATATATCAGTTATAAAACAAAAAATATAAATAGGAGGAAAATAATTAGAAAAATTAGATTATTTTGAGTGTGACAAAATCATAGCAGTACAACATATTTTAATTTTATATTTAGTTAAACATAAAATAGTCAATGTTGTTAAGATCCATTTCTTTTAGGGCATGCGTATCTCCAAAGTTCAAGTAGTTTTTGCACCAATTCTACTTATTATCACCCAAATATCGGTAATTTATTTACTGTTTGTTTAACAATACAAATACTTACGCATCAACAAAAAATCCTCCCGTATGTTTGGATAACCACCTTCCAATCCACAACCGGTGCAACAATTGTCTAAACACTTGCCAGCAGAAACAGAGAGATAAATCAAACTTACTGGAAGGTAATGATATACCATATGTTTGTAAACAACGTAAAAGTTCTTGTTTCGCTTCCAATTTTTCACCCTGTAAAATATAAATAAATAATGTCACAATAAGTCCTTACTGCAGATAAAGACTCACACTAATGAGCAGTGCATTTACCCACTCTTATGTATTAGGTTTCGAATAATTATGCATTTATAAATGCGTAATTATCCGAATCCTAATAATAATTATTAATAATACAGTGCAACATTATTACAGATAATAAATATTAGTGTGTATAGCAACTGATAATAAGAGCAAAACGTTATTGATAGCTACATTATACCACATAAAAACAATATAAAGGAATGCATGATAGATATGCGCATAATCTTTTATAACAAACAATATAAAGAAATGTATGATAAAATGCACATAATCTTTGTTTCGGAATAGACATTCGTCATGTGATAATCTTGTATTTGATATAGTATACTGCGGAATTTACAAAGTATTTTAAAATATATTAAATTATTTCGCACATAAGTCATTCTTAATTATTGTCCACATCAGATCATATAGTAAGTGTGAATTGTAGAAAAATTCTTACCTTTTTTAGGAATACATTCGCCTGTCTTCTGTGTCTCCAAAAATTTTGAGATTCTTTTGATTTTGAAGGAATCATTGGATCGCCGTAAACAAACATTTTTACTAAACAAAAGCATAAGATGACAAAATTTACCATCCATAGAATTAGTGTAGATGGTGAAAATGATACCGAAGCAGGTTCAGACCCTGAAACAAACAAAATTCATAAAAAGTTAAACAAACTAATTTAATGTTGTGTTAACATTATTATTCTTTATGTACATATAGATGTATTTACAAAATAAACTGTTCGTTGACCCAAGTATTCAATCGAGTGGTAAATCAATAAATATATGTATGTATGTATGTATATATTATATATATATATATATATATATATATATATATATATATATATATTAATAAAGTATTCAGCTAGTGAATTCAGAGGTTTATCGGTCATTCAGGTTGGCAAAATAATAAACAGAAGTCAACTACTTCATAGGTTTATAGAAGACGTTTCGCTTTATACTTATACTTATACAACTCAATATGTAGTATAAAGATGTTATTGTATATCTACTTAAGTTTACTCATAAATTTAGAACTAACTTAAAAACAATTTAAAACAGAAACAAAGAACACAAAAACTTTGCAAAAAATAATATTCGCAGAAACGAAGATTTACAAAAATTTTAAACGTACATTTGGCTTCATTTAGAGATGGTTCTTAAATGAAGACAAACAAAACACTGATTTATTGCAATCTATGCAAAACGACGTGACGCGATACCGAAAATTTTTAAGGGCCATATGTTCAACAAATTCCAAGGTTTGAGACAATCATGAACTTCTACGGGGGTCATTGAAAGATTAGTTGGACGGGTGGATTTGTATGACGGAAAAAATTGATATGATTTTTTTTGTAATTTATGTTTTAATGAAACTTAGAGATCTGGGATCATTATATTATTATTTTGAATGGAAAATAAGGCTATTTTAAATGACGAATATTGGTATTATTTATTTCGTAAGATGAGAGAGTGGTAAACCTGGCTCAAATTGTCGATGTCGGTTCTTTTGTTTATTGCAGATAGGTTTTTTAGGATCTCACACATTTCAGTTATTTTGTTTCGCCAGTATTTTAGTATTTGAGAAGTCAATGTGATGTTTGGTGGAGATGGCGTGTTGTGCAAGTGCACAAGAGGGTTTGGAAAGTCTAATGTCGCTTTTATGTGAAGTTATACGTCCTAGAAGTGAACGACTGGTCTGGCCAATGTAGCAGAAATTGCATTTAGAACAGGGGATCTGATAGAAAACATTAGTGTGCTCTAACGAGCTTAGTGGAGTTTTGGACTTGGCGAATAACTTTCCAATGGTTTTAGTGTTTTGTAGGAATATTTTGGCGGGTAAGTTTTTGAATAGTTTAGTAAGCTTGTTTGTAATTTGTGGGAAATATGGAAGAGAAGCATATTTTGTGGCTGATTTTGGGGTTAACGGGGAATTGTCAGTCTGTAAGCTATTGATGAAGATTCCCTCTTGTACCGCGTATGGGTCAACGTGTGTACTCTAAAGCGAAGAGCTTGAACAAGGTTATGTTTGTATCTCATTGGGTGTGTAGAGTGGTAATTTAAGAACCGGTTACTCGCCATTTCTTTCCTGTACCACGTAGTGCCCAATATGTTGCTATGTGTGCGTATGATTCACATGTCCAAAAATGGTATGCTGTTATCAACCTGCAATTCACATGTAAGTTGAAGGTGAGGATCAACGCTATTGAAGACTGATAAGGTGCTTAAAATATTTTCAGGTGGTGTTACTAGGATCAAGTCGTCAACATAACGCTTTACAAAGGGAACCTGGAAATCTAACTTACTGATACTCTCATTGATAAGGTCGTCGAGTACGAAATTAACTAGAATGGGGGAGTTGGACGATCCCATGGGAGTTCCAAAAATTTGACGATAGTAGTTGTCATTAAAAATTAGAAAATTGGTGTCAAACGTCAGTTTTAATAATTCCTAGAATGTTTCCCACGATACTGGACTGTGTGGTTGGATTTCATTCCAATGGTTCCGGAGTGACGTGACGACGCTAGAGAGTGGGAGATTAGAAAACAGGGATACTACGTCGAATAGGTGCAATACTAGCCTCCATATCCAATAGCTTACAGACTGATAATTCCTCGTTAACCCCAAAATCAGCCACAAAATATGCTTCTCTTCCATGTAGCTTACTAAACTATTCAAAAACTTACCCGCCAAAATATCCCTAAAACACTAAAACCATTGGGAAGTTATTCGCCAAGTCCAAAACTCCACTAAGCTCGTTAGAGCACACTAATGTTTTCTATCAGATCCCCTGTTCTGAATGCAATTCCTGCTACATTGGCCAGACCAGTCGTTCAATTCTAGGACGTATAACTTCACATAAAAGCGACATTAGACTTTCCAAACCCTCTTGTGCCCTTGCACAACACGCCATCTCCACCAAACATCAGATTGACTTCTCAAATACTAAAATACTGGCGAAACAAAATAACCATCAAAAACGCTCCTTTATTGAAATGTGTGAGATCCTAAAAAACCTATCTGCAATAAACAAAAGAACCGACATCGACAATTTGAGCCAGGTTTACCACTCTCTCATCTTATGAAATAAATAATACCAATATTCATCATTTAAAATAGCCTTATTTTCCATTCAAAATAATAACATAATCATCCCAGATCTCTAAGTTTCATTAAAACATAAATTATAAAAAAAATCATATCAAATTTTTCCGTCATACAAATCCACCCGTCCAACTAATCTTTCAATGACCCCCGTAGAAGTTCATAATTGTCTCAAACCTTGGAATTTGTTGACAATATGGCCCTTAAAATTTTCGGTCTCGCGTCACGTCGTTTTGCATAGATTGCAATAAATCAGTGTTTTGTTTGTCTTCATTGGAGAACCATCTCTAAATAAAGCCAAATGAACGTTTAAAATTTTTGTAAATCTTCGTTTCTGCGAATATTATTTTTTGCAAAGATGTTGTGTTCTTTGTTTCTGTTTAAAATTTTTTTTAAATTAGTTCTAAATTTATGAGTAAACTTAAATACATATAAAATAACATCTTTAATACTACATATTGAGTTGTAAGTAATAAATTATTAGATCTGTATTTCTTATAAACTCTATGTCATCTTTGTATTTTAGAGAACTGATGAAGCTTTAGAAGTATAAAGCGAAACGTCTTCTATAAACTTATGAAGTAGTTGACTTCTGTTTTTTATTTTGCCGACCTGAATGACCGAATAAACCTCTGAATTCACTAGTTGAATACTTTATTAATATAAATTGACGGTCGTCAATATATATATATATATATATATATATATATATATATATATATATATATATATATATATATATATATATATTACATACTTCTGTTGTCTGTTATACTTTTAAATTACTTAATTCTGTTTTTTTCTTCAAAAAAACGTGTTGTGTTTCAGATAGTACCGACTTGACAAGCAGTCGGTTTTCCAAATCGAAGTCAAATGGATATTTTCTGTGGATGGTTTTAAGAAATTATCTGCTGAAAACTTATTCTGTACCAGAACATATACTCTCTCTATCCGAGAATATACTATACATTTATATTTGGATTTGCCCCCAAATTTTCTGGTTCAGAGCCCGGTCGCGTGAGGCGCTAGAAACCCTACTTCTTACCGTAGATGATACCATGCTAGAGAGGTATTTACTGTGACTGTACAGGCTTTCTAAAACTCACAATGAAAAGGTTCCTTTTCGTTGTGTTTTCTTTTTCGAAAAAGCTATTTTCTTGTGGCATTGTAAATTAATTACTATTAAACTGGGAATCAGCCACAATTAATGATAAAAATACGTTTATTGACGTTTCAATTTCCACTTCGGAAATCGTTCTCAAACGAACGATTTCCGAAGTGGAAATTGAAACGTCAATAAACGTATTTTTATTTTTAATTGTGGCTTATTCCCAGTTTAATAGTAATTAAATCGTAAATGTTTTTCGTCACTGACTTAATTAAACATATTCCGGTGGAATGGCGGATTTTATGAACATACTGATGGGGTGAGGATATATACATACTGAAAATTCGGACAAGTCCTAAATTAACAGATAAAAAGCGAATGTGTTAGATGACACTTTTGTAATGTGCAGCTAAGGGAAAGTTTTTAAATTTTTTAAATCTACTAAATTCCCTAAACTCTAAGATCCGGTTCACTATGGAAGTAAAAAGATAAACAACTAATTGCACATTCTTGGATGCTTTAGTAGAAAGAAAAGTCAACAAAAAACTTGGAATAGAGCATACCGAAAATAACCATTCTAATAAAGAGGAGTCAGAAAACTTCTCTGCCTCTGCTAACAATAGCACAGTTGAGACATGGAGATGCTACAAGGGACATATATTCCAACAATAGACAGAATCCGGGGCCACTGGAAAATTTCAGACTCTGCTTTAATTTCAGACTACGGCTTATCAACCCCGAAAACAATGTACCATTACTATATAAAGTTTTATTATTTATGGTTTTCAAGTTTTTAAATAATTAAATTTATTCGTTCATTTTTAAAATTTAAGCAATGTAATAATGGAACACTAGGCTGTTTTTTATTACGTAATTTGACAGACAGATAGTGATTTAATTGTATTTAATCTTAAGTTTAGTAAAAAATTATATATTTTTACTTTATTTCTATCGTTTTATAAAAAGTAATATAATAATTTTCGTGTATAATTTATTTGTCTTGTTAATAAAAATATATGTATACTTACATAATATTCCCCTTCTTTCGAATCCCCTGCTGTCTTCCACATTCGCATATTTATCCAACGCGACTCTGAAGGGATTAAAAACCAACATAACCATCATAACCATGCACAGCGTTAACCTGGAACTGTCCAGCATTCCTTGACGCACTGTTCCTACAGCCTCATCTTCACTTTCGTCCTTAATCGTAGCACAATATTCGGGACTGGAAGGAAGAGAATGTTCGGGCGATAACGAATGATCTGAACGAGGAGGAGTATCTTCTGGACGATATTTGTCGCCAGTAGTCAAAAGATCTTTGAGTGTGTTTTGACTGGCGGCCATTTTTAGAGCCATATTTTCTTGTTTGAGGCGACTGTTCGAGTTTTGAAGAAACCGGATGTAGTCTATTGTTCGGCGAAGAATAGCAGATTTGTTAAGCTACAAATATAACGATGATATAAATAACATGTACTATTTTTTCCTATTATCATATTATTATCATTATATCCTTTAATAATACTATAAATATTCACAAAATGTATAGAGGTGCTACCATATAACGTGACTCAAGGCAACATTTCCAGTAGGTAAAGAAATAATAAATAAGACTTGCTCACAATCAATTTAATTTAACTATTCAGACGACCGGTTTCGCTTTCTACAATATGCAAAGCATCTTTAGGTTTCGATACAAAGTTAAATAAATGCTGAAATGATAAAACCCATATTAGGGTGTTGTCTGATAAAGATATTATCTTTATGTTATCTTATCTTTATCTTTATCAGACAACACCCTAATATGGGTTTTATCATTTCAGCATTTATTTAACTTTGTATCGAGACCTGAAGATGCCTTGAATATTGTAGAAAGCGAAACCGGTCGTCTGAATAGTTAAATTAAATTGATTGTGAGTAAGTCTTATTTATTATTTCTTTACCTATTTGAAATGGACTCACACAAGCAACACATTCATGATTTCAACATTTCCAGTTTTATCTCCCCACGTCGTACAGCTAGACAAAATCACAAAATCTAACAAACAATAATAATATACATGGATTATTTTCACGAACTGTCCACCGTTGTTACAACATTCAAAGAAGAATATGACGGGAATATGTTTTGGTGGGTCTGGTAGCTCCTGTGATACTAGCAGTATTTCGGTAACTAATTACATTTTTCTAATGAACTATTCTAAATACATTTCTGATAAACAGTTGAAAATCTTAATGTAGTATACTAACATAAAAAAGAAAATCATAATGTACATTCTTTTCTGTACTATGGTTTGCATCAGGCAAGCCGGATAGTAGAGTATATTGGGAAAACCAAAGACAATAATAGGCGATTAAAGCATAGCAACTGTTCTGTTACCTTTCTTGTATGCAGTAGACTCAATAATCAACAGACTACACCGTCAGTATAAAGGGAGCATATTATTATTACTTAAAAAAAAATTACTTTCTTACCGAAAATGTTTTAAGTAATTACATTCTTTTATGATTTCTGTAAATCACTGTAAATTCTCCATTCTCTGGAAAATTAATTTAATTTTAAGAGCAACGATAAATGTGATACACGATATCGATATCTCAAGATATAAAAAATTAAAATCTTAAAATGCTCCAGCTAAGATATATTTAGCCACAAACGTAATAAAAATTATAAATTAAATTGCAAATTTAACTTAGTCATTAGTATTTTGGGAACATTAAAATTACCGACACGAAACATTTGGGATCAGCAATTCCTAATACAAGGACTGAAAAATTAAGAAAGTTAACAATCACGAGAAATTTTCTATTATTGTAAACACTGGTAAAGAAAGTACTACGAATCGTTGAAGGAAAAATATTGAGAACCATATATGGCGGAGCTAACGAACAAGATCTGTAAAGAAGGTTTTTATATTTTGTAACTATTTGCTTTATAGTGGAAGATTTAGACGTTGCACGTTAAATCGGTTAAGTATCTCGGAGTCTGATTGCCGGAAGGACTGAGGTCCGAAGTACACATTCACAAGACGGTAGAGACCGACCGAATGTGATTTTTTTGGCCGAAGCCGATGCCGAAGTTCAAAAAAACATTAAAGCAAGTGAGTATTTATGATTACTGGATCTGGTAGTTAATATTCGAAATCAAACATCCTAATATTATACGTAAGAAAAAGGAGCTTGTCAGCGTTTTCTCCCAACAAATTAGTTCTTCTGTCAGCGTATAGTTGCCCAGCAGAGTTGAATAACTGCTCACTAGGTACACTCGTTGGTGGTGCCGATAGAAATTTTTTGGCTGCAGTTTTTAAAGAAATATAGGGACTTGATTCCCAATAATGAAATATGTCGGCACTTCTTAAAAGCAAAGCCTCTCGTAAATACGAATCTAGGTAATCTGCATTGGGATCGTTGTCGTTATGAATTTCTTTTGTTGTATCTAGAACGGCTGTGACAAAACTATCATGTGAATTCCAAAGACTATTGTTTTCTAGATCTTCTACATGTGTAGTTGTAGATGATGATGTTGAAGCGATAGCCATAGGAACTTTATTTGTATAACTAAACTTAGAGCTATCACATTCACGTAGAAATTTTAAAATTCTTGCTTTACATGTAATTACTTCCTCGTCTGTCAAATATTTTGATTTAAAGCGAGGATCTAGAAGAGTCGCAATTGACAATTCTGGCAAATTTGTAATATTAGCGAATCTTTTAATTAATGATTCACGAAGTCGTAGCTTTAATAAACTTATCTCCTCAGAGTCCTGCTCTTTCGCAGAAACTTTACCATTTAGCATTTTTATTAGTGGGATAACCAATGATACACAAGCAGAATCGGCTGAAAGATCTAGCGTCGCTTGGTAAAAACAAGTTAAAACTGAAATTAAATTATTGATCAATTCCCATTCTGTTGAACTGGGAACTTCAATACCACCACGTTCAGCCATATACAAATTTATTGCAACTTTCTGTTCGAATAGCCGCTCCAACATTAGGTAAGTGCTATTCCATCTTGTTTCCACATCCTGAATTAACATATGCTTTGGCAAATTGCAAGTTTGTTGAAACTGCCTCAGGTACCTGCAGGCTTGTTCACTCCTTTTAAAATGTCCCACAATTTTACGACATTTTTTAATTGTGTTTTCAATTAATTCCTGTTTTAATAAAGAATCATGAATTACAAGTTGTAATGAGTGAACCACACATCTTAGAGATGTAAATTGTGTAATACGAATAGCCGCGACCATATTTGCTGCGTTATCAGTTACAGCTATATGAATTTTGTTTTCTATTTTAAAATTTTTAATTATTTCATTAAGTTTACTTGCAATAAACATACTAGTGTGGTCATCATTAAGCACACTAGCGCCTAATATAACTTTAAGACGTTTTGAACCATGAACAAAGTGAGCTGTAAAACTCAAAAGAGAACAGGTTTTAGCAGGATTGCTCCAAATATCTGACGTAAAGCTTATCCATTCGGCTTTAGAAACTAAATTTGATACTTTTTTCCAAACTCTGTCATAGGTAGCTGGCATTAAACTAGTTCTAAAAAACTTTTCCGTTTTTTTTCTGTATTTGGAAGTAACATTAGGATCTCCAAAATTTAAACGCTGAAAAGCTTCTCCTTCAACGATAGAGTATGGTAACATGTCGACAATAATAAGGTCCATGATACCCTTATCAATCCTAGATGATATCGGATGATCATTAGGCCATAGAGCAGATGAATTAAGTTCCATTATTTGATGTAGGTTGGGCTGAAATGTCCTGGAAACTGGTTGTGTAACATCATGTGGAGTTTTCATATGTTCCAATTTTCGAACTTTTATTCCCATTTCAATGTCACAAAATTATTTCCATTCTTCTGTATGGATTTTTTGTAGATGATTTTTAATGTTTGTAATAGTTTGTTTTTTAGGTATTAAACTGCCAAGCGATAATGACTTTGAACATAGTTTGCATGCAGCTTTGTTGCCACTTTTTTCAAAATAATCCCAAATTGGATTTTTTATTGACATTATCTAAAAACGTTTGAATTTACTAAAATTATATTAAAATAAAAATTACAGACTTACCAAAAGTTATTTTTACAACACTAGAACAAAAACCTGAACTGATTTTGCAACGTAAACTATAATATATATATTTCACGGGTAAATAAGTACTATTAGCAAAGCTGCCCCCAAGAGAGAATAAACTTAAACTGTTGTAAAATATTTAATATTTGCATTCATAGTCGATGGTCGAGGTTTTGCCCTTTAGGTATCTATTCAAAACACCAGTAATCGTGAGTTTTAACATATACAATAAAATTATTATCATAATTTTACTACGTGAGAAATATTCAAATGAAGTTCTTTAAGACATCTTGGCCTATTGTTAAAATTTATATCCTACCTACTATTACCTGACCTGAAAGTTTGTAAAACGTTTTAGTTGGGGGTAGAAAATAGTGTGTAAATATTATTCAAATTATCAAAGACTCGCCGAAGCGTATTGTTCAGAGATTATTTCATTTCTATAGTCACCTTCGGCAAAACCTTCGGCTTTGTTTTGGCCGAAGCCGAATTTTGGCCTAAGGTTTAAATATTGGCCGAAGGTGGCCGAAGCCGATGCCGAAGCCGATTAATCGGTCGGTCTCTACAGACGGTAGAGAAGGCAAACCGGTGGTAACCTACGCTGTCACCGCTGATGGAGACTTCGCAAAGGTGAATGTTCCTCAGGGTATCTAGTGCATACAAGACGGTTTCAAATGAGGCTCTGTGTATCATTGGAGCGATGATACCGATCGTCTCGTTGTGCAAAGAGCGAGCGAGTGTATGGAAATATAGATCATAATGAGAGAGAGAAAACGATAGAGGAGTGGCAGAGAGAATGGGCGAATGATAGCCGAAAGGCAAGATGGACAAAGGAGCTTATTCCCGATCTGAGGCCGTGGTGGGAATGTACGTTAGTTCAGGAAACTAGACCAATTCATGACGCAGTTTTTGACCGGACATGCAAGTTTTGGCACATTCAAACATACAATAGCCAAATCTCCCTCGGCAGACTGTACTGTTTGTGGGGTACCGGACGCGCTCACATTTTTAACTGTCAGAGATGGCAAATGAGAGGGGAGATTTCGAGAGACAAATGGGTTTCAGGCTGGATGAAAGGAACATGGTAAACATCATGATGAGAGGAGAAAAAGAATGAAGAGAAGTACACTGTCTGATCTCTGGGGTGGTGAAGAAGGAGCAGGAGGACAGAGAAGGAAATTGAACCAGGGATCTGAAATCTTGCACTTATTGTTTCTCGAGAGCCAAGAACCGGTAAGTATCAAAATTAGTTTATGACCTCACGGAAATATTTTCGTTCTTTTGATTTCTTTTGGAAATAGGCAATTACTTAAACAATTTTTTTCTGATTTAAGGTGATAGGTATAATTATTTGTAAGTTTT